TTTTAAACACCTAACAAATCCAGAAAAATTCTAAAAAATGGTAAACGTACCTAACACAGGTTCTTGTTTTCTAGAAAAAAACAACTAAAAATCGTATAAAAAAGTTAAGTACCAAAAAATGCACAATTCCATGGCAAAGATAATGAGCCCTGTTAAGTTTAAATTTGTCTAGCTGTTTTCTTTCAAATTGAAAATACTATGTGATTTTGTCATTTCTTGAAAAATCAAGAACTCATGTTATAATTGACGTTGAGAACCAGAATTTGAATATAGTACAGATATTTTAGCTTTCAAAAGCCTCCCAAATTACAGCAAAATCGACTAAACTTTTGCAAACCACTTAGAAAAATGAAAAAAAGGTCCTTTCTAAAAATGTTCATAAAGAAGTTGTGGCCAAACGTAGTTGAATTTTTAAACTCGCTTTTGTACGTCAAGAATTGACCTATAATATCTAACAGTGCCGTTTCGTTTACCATGGACAAGTACGTCAAATATTAATTGCAAGAAAGTGTACCTTTAAACTTTGCGTGCTATGCCAGGTGGTGAGGACACGCCACCGGGAGGCCACGCCCACCCTTCGCAGTGAGTCTTCGGACTTTTAACGTGGTGAGTTTACAACGATAAGAGCGTTAAGATTATCGATGTCACCAGAACCAAACAACAGGGATGTATTTTTTTTTCAAATTTGTAGTAGCTTTTAATAATATTAAATTTGCACATTTATGAAACCCTCTAAAAATATAACATATAGTTCATAAATTGTTATTGTAGACTCAGTCTTGTTTATTGCAGTTTGCATTTTTAATTTTCCACTTTCAAGGTATCACAACTTGATTTGAACAAATGCAGCATTGTGTAAAGAATTGTTATACTCATTAATGTAAATAATATTACTAATATTACACACAAGCACANTACTTGTCCAACTTTTTCATTCATTCCATAATGAACAACTTGAGCATATGCGCTCTGTGTAACCTAATAAAATTTCCAGGCTTCAACTTATATATTTAAAGATACATGTAATAATTATAAATGTCCTTAATTTTTTATTTATATTTCCAAAATTTTAATAAATCGACGGTGGAAAATTAGAAATACAAACTACAATGAAGAAGACTAAATTAGCAACAACAATTTATGAGTCGTATGTTGTATTTTTAGACGGATGCAAGTATGTGCAAACTTAATATTATAAACAGCTTCCATGAAGTAAAAAAATCATCAATTTACGTTGCTTGATTTCGAAAATATTAATAATTTTGACGCAGTTATCGTTTTAAAATCGGTCGTTCAAAAAAATCTGGAGACTTGCTGCAGCGAGTGGGCGTGGCCTCCCTTCGACTCACCCTACGATCTGATCCAGTACGCAGAATGCGAAGATTTCCATTTGCTGTCATTTTTCTGTTATATGAAACAGCATTTTCAGATGTTAAGGGTTATGTCATTGTGAACAAAAGGGCTTTTGAAAAATTGACCTTCCTTTGTCCACGACTTTTTTTATAACTATTTATACAAAGAGCTTTTTTAAACTTATTTTGTGTGTTGTTATGCGAGGAAAGTAGGAGAGAGAGACAGAGAGAGCCGTAGAAGAAAGGAGAAGCGAGAAACGGCGCGCGTTTACCGAAAAGAGGCAGTTGCAATACTACTCTAGCCCTGGGTACGTCTCTCCCGCTGATCACGGAGCTGTCCTCCAACCTGAGCGAGAAAAGACCCACTGCATCGCTGCTAACCCTGGAGCTGACCTCCATCTGCATACACCCACTGCATTGCTGCTAACCCTGGAGCTGACCTCCATCTGCAGACACCCACTGCACTGCTACTAGCCTGGGGCTGATCTCCATCTGCCTAGACGGGCTGTTCTCATCCACACTCACTGGGAGCTTTCTCTGGTCGACTGTTGAGCTGTTCTCTGGTCGATTCCTGCCGTTCCCCTGCGGAGATCTTCCTCGGAGCCGTCAACCCTCGACGTCGCAGGTATTTGTCGCCGTATGGCCAATTGTCAAAGCGTGAGTACATTTGCGAATTCGTTCCGCCTCGATAGCTTCATGAGCGTTCGTAGGTAATATGGATGCTTGTACGCGGCATTGAGCATAGAGATTCGCGTCAACGTATCAGCGAGGTTTGGTGCGTTGCTTTTGTTGTGTACCCGTTTCTGCGTATGTGTAACGCGCTCACGGGAATTGTATCAATCGTGTATTACTCCGGGTGTGCGTGTACCTATTTAGCGTGTGTGCTGTTTTCGCGTCATGTGTATAATTATAACGTCGTGTGTTTACGTGAATAACCTATAACTGTGCGCAACAGCGTTGTGTGCTCGTCGTGTGTGATTCGAGAGCTGAGTCCGAGTGTCTTGTTGTGTTGTTAACTTGTATGCCGGAACCTGCGTGTTGGCTTTATTGCTAACTAACATTGTTAAGCCTGAGTTGTATGAATGTAAAGGAATATATATTTCATTAAATATAGCCTATTGTTCTTTCTTAGCATCTCCCGACATATCCTGTCCTCACCACATATATTTGAATAGTTTGGCTGTTTCAACAACAAACACCTATACTATATTCAAATTTTAGTTTCTTATATTAATTATAGATTAAACATGAGTTATAGAATTTTTAAAAAATGGCCAAAATACATTGAGTTTTGCTATTTTCGAGAGATCTACTGTACTGATTTGAATTTAATGTTGCTTATTATCTTTGCCTTGTAATATCGTATCTTTTATATACTTAAGGTAGTTGTACAGCAAATTGAAATATAGGATAGAAAATTATGATATTTTGCAGGATGGTAGATTAATGCATAAAAATAAGAAATCTAAATTTTTGTGACCCGAGGGTACCTATAAAGGGAGATATTCATAATTATTTGCATGCCTTGAGTTTTTGTTTACATGCCAATTCAACATAGCGTCTTATGGGAAACCGCGGAGCTGTCTGTATATTATCATTCATATCGTTGCTAATATAGGATAGGTTCTGATGCCCTTTGGACAGTAGAAAGATAATTAAATGACAATTATATATTCGCTTTCAAAACCTTCCAAGGGTACTTGTGAGAAAAGTAATTAAATAGTAAAGCGTGAAGAACGTGCATTTGTGAGACGCTATTTGAAAATATGGCAACGCCGCATAATCTGATATTACGCGCGCGGTTTGAAAGGTAAATAGGTACATATGATTGCTCGTAAATCCTGATTACTGCAATCTCTCTTATAGATTTTCAATTATTGTTATAGGACGTATATTTTAAATAAATATGATAAATAAATATATAAATAATAAAACGAACTGATATACAAAGAACATCAAAACAATTTTATTGCCATATATTACTTAAAAATGAAATAAACATGTTATAAATTAATATTTATGTAATAAATATTTAATATTTATTTTTTAAATAATTAAATAGCCTATTTTTAACTTTATTATTTTTAGTTACTCGTGCATTATATACTTTCTCGCTTACCCTTACACCTTTCCAAAAAAACTTCTTATTTTTTTCTTTGGGCATGACTATTTTATTAACTAAAAAAAAGATACACACGCTTCTCCTTTTGCTACAGCTGATCAACGAAGTGCTCCTTCTATGATGCTCTGAACACACACTTACAGGCACACACACATGACCGTAAAGCGACGTTGCCAGATCGTTCTACTACACAAATCAAAAAGTTTCATGACTCTTGCGGTACCTGTACAACTACCTTAACGTGTTTTGTACGATTTCAAGTTTTTGTTCAAGAAAATAAGGACCAGTTTTGGGCCATTTTACCATTTTTTGGGATTTTGTTAAACTCTTTATGAGTTTAAAAGGAGTAGAATTAAGTAGAAAAAATAAAAAATCAAAGATAAACTTTTTTTCGTGCTAGTATCAACTTCTCGATCGAAAAAGCTTACTCTATTACACTAGAGGTACGAGGATCAACTAATAACTTTTAGGCTTTTCAATTTTACGAAATCTCCTCTGTTAAATTAGATAAAATGACACCTAGATAAAGGGCCCAAATACCAACATCCGAGGCTTGAACAAAGTGTAACTGTAGTGTTTATAAACTAGCAATTAGAAACTAATGAGTCAAAAGTCTATTTAATGACCGGGACCCAACTCGGCAGTCTGATAAAATCCAGGGACTCAACTCGGTTATAGAATGACGTCATAAATTTTCTGGGACCGAACTCGGCTACTCCCCTGCATTGTGCTGAAAAGTAGAACATTTTGAGCTAGATCGCACACAGATAGTTGAACTGTCTGAGTTCTGTACCTATAAACTTGAACTTTTCTTTTCCGAGTACGAGTACTTTTTTAACACTAAACTTTTTCTATGTACATGATAAAAACTTCTTACAAATTTCAGACCACGTTCATGGAAAAAAATGCGGGAAAAAGCTGATGAAAAATTGGACGTACATGGATTCTTATGGCCGAGTAGTGTTTTCACAACTAAAGTTACAGTATATCTTTGCATTTACTTGATAAATAATTACAGTAAAATAAAGAACTAAAGTTTAAGTACCCAGCTTTTTAATGACGTTTTGATCTTTGCACCATCATGGATGAAATAAAAAAATTTTTAAATCAGAAATTCGAGTATTACCGTACTTCAAATTATGAATGCAGTCACAATGAGCGTGCGAGTTTGCAGCACCACGGAAAATTCAAGCAACGGTTTGTTTTTCTTCAGCTTAACATACTTTTTTCAAATTTACTTTCAATTTTTTTTTTAGCCCTAGTAACGCTGTGCTTATTGGATGCATTTTCCATTTTCTATTATTTTTATTACATACACCCTTCTTTCTTAATACAATTGAGTGAACAATAAAGTAAAATGAACTATAGGATTATGGTTAATTACGCAGACAATATTGTTCTTTGCATCCAGCCAACTTGTATACTTAGTCACTCAGTGATGTTGTCATGCTCGAACCTCCTTAAGCTAATTTTTTGTATGAATTTTAATAATTATTGATAAGTAATATTAGCTGTTGAAAGCTTACCTTGATTACATTATCTTTATGTTCATTTAAAAGTTTAGTAGTACGTTCATGTGCGAGATGAATCATGGTTCTGACTTCTTGATCTATAAGTTGAGCTGTGCTTTCAGAATACGGCTTGTCAAGAACCATATCCCCTGGTTGCGGCATTTCAAAACTTACTTGTCCAACTTTTTCATTCATTCCATAATGAACAACTTGAGCATATGCGCTCTGTGTAACCTAATAAAATTTCCAGGCTTCAACTTATATATTTAAAGATACATGTAATAATTATAAATGTCCTCAACAGCATTAAAATTGTTTTGAAAAAGGGTTTTTAAATACTTTAATTAAAGTTACATACCTTTTGCAAGTCATCCTGTGCACCTGTAGTAATGCGACCAAAAAAAATTTCTTCTGATACTCTACCACCTAAGGTCATGCATATCCTATCAAACAGTTGTTCTTTAGTGTAAAGATATTGTTCTCGAGGTAAATACTGAGCATAACCCAATCCTTTTCCTCGTGGGATAATGGATACCTAAATAGGAATTTTATGAATGTTTTGTAGTTTTTAGTTTCGTTTGTGTAGGGTTACTACTTGAAATTACTTTTAATAAAGGATCTGCATGTTCAAGGAACCACCCAGTTACTGCGTGTCCCGCCTCATGATAAGCCACAGTTTTTTTTTCTTCAGGTTGCAAAACATTGGTTTTCTTCTCCATCCCTGCTACAACTCTTTCAATTGCTTGCTCAAAGTTTTTCATTTCTATGCTGTCCTTATGATCACGAGCAGCAATTAATGCCGCTTCATTACATACATTTGCTATTTCAGCTCCTAAAAGTCACAGTAGCACATTTCAACGAATTTTTGTGAAATACATCAATAAATCGCTAACGAATATAATGAAAACAACAGCAATAAAAGATTACCAGTAAAACCTGGAGTTAGAGCAGCCATCTTTCTTGCTAAATCTATCTTGTCTAAGGTCGTTTTTAAATTTTCTAAATGAACTTTAAAAATCGAGGCTCGTCCCTTAATGTCTGGTGCTGGTACAAAAATTTGTCTGTCAAATCTACCTGGACGTAATAAAGCTTTGTCTAAAATATCAATCCTATTAGTTGCAGCCAGAATAACAACATTAGTTGTTGTATTAAAACCTTGAAAATGAACGGATACTGTAAGGTTTATGATTACTTCAGAAAACAAATAAATGAAACAACGTACCATCCATTTCCACCAAAAGTTGATTTAACGTATTTTCTTGTTCCGAATGTGATCCAAAACTTTTTCCACCTCGTTTTCTACCCACAGCATCAATTTCGTCGATAAACAAAATACACGGGGCATTTTTTCGAGCCATAGAAAACATGTCTCTTACTCGAGACGGTCCAACACCGACAAACATTTCTAAAAACTCAGAACCAGATACTGTTAAAAAAGGTACTGCGGCTTCTCCAGCAGTAGCTTTGGCAAGTAAAGTCTTGCCCGTTCCAGGCGGACCTGAAAAAAGAGGATAAATTTGCGTAAAACATGATGTTTCGTGTGCAAGACACGACCGATATACAGATCGCCAAAGCAAAAAGTGTGATTTTAGTAAAAAAAATTTATTGTTCGACTATTCTTATTGTTTAATCTCACATGCAAACAACTTTCTTAATATTTGTCCTTAAAAATATAAAACTAACTACAACTTACATAATATTTTGACAGTTAATGTCCACTGAAATAAAATAGTTATATTCTACAAAACAATTATTTGGCCATTTTGTAACAGTTTTGGTTCTTTCTTGAACATAGAGATACTAGAATAGAGAACGCCAAGGGCCTAGCAGCCTGTAAAAGTACATCTTTACGATTTGTTAGAAACTGCTTATGGTGTGCAGCGTATTGACGTCACTACATGTGAGAATTTGAGATCATTAAATGTTGTATAATAAATAATCAAAACACCTGTTAAGTCACTTTGTTTGGATATACATAAAAAAAGAATCAGTTATAACTATAAGTGAAACTTATTGTGCAACGTTAAATCACTAAAAAAATTATATTTACTTCATAAAAATAGCTAAACCTCTTAAATCATCGTCTGTTACACAACATACCCACTTTTGCGCGCTTTGTACGTCAACACGGTTCAACTTACTTTACCCACGCTTAATTAAATCTGAAGCAGTATGTTACTATGCCAATGACTATAGCATATGTATAATCGCTGTAAAATATTTTTAAAAAATATGTACATCAGTCATTACGTTATGTATGCATCACACTGCAAGTGGCTTTCAGCAAACCATGTGTTAGGTGAGAGTCGATGCTTATGCACACATATGAGCAAACGCGAAAGAGTATGTGTGTGCCGATCTGTGTATGTATGGCGTAGACATGTGAACGGATAGGTCGCAAGTGCGAGACATGTAAAGCAAGCGGCCAGTAGTCAGTCCATAGATAACTGCAAACTAGCGCACACATGTAATTAGGAGCACTGAATAAATTAATTGTTAAGTTACATCCCCAGTGAACTCCTTTATTTGATCCCTAACTACAAATACACAACAACTGGCGATGAGGATGGAATCCTTGTAAGTGGGCGAGATCTCGAGTAAAGTGTTGTGGCAGCACGAAGTGCTGACATAGTGCAATTGACTTTTTGTGGCATGCCATGCGTCTTCGGGTAGCACAGTCTGTTATTTTCTGTCGGTGTAATTAAATTAAAAATTCCTCATCCCAAAATGACTACAACGAGACAAGTAACGATACTAAAAAAATGGGATTAAAACAGCTATTACGTACATGCAGTCTCCATCATGATATGTGGAGCCTTTCGTCCCAGCAAGTTCAGAATCATGCAAATGGCTACAGAGACTGGAAGGAGTTTTTACAATTATAAAGCTGACACTAGAAGAAAAGATTCAGCACCTACTTTACTACATAGGTGAAACCGCACTTAATAATTTGTGTAATAATATTGTCACGGAAAATCTTTACGAAAAATCACACGACACTCTGAAAGAAAAATTAAAGGAGTTATACACCGCAGCAGTAATCGAGATCGCAGAATATTTTAAATTTACAAGCAGGAGGCAGTTACCACGAGAAAATACACAAAACTATGCAAATACTCTAACAAAGATAAGTCTTAAATACAATTTCGGAAGTTTTTAAAAAACCGCTTTACGAAATCAGTTTGTTTACGGTATTTCAAATCGCCAGATTTAAGGTTGACTTATAGAACAAAAGAGACAACCCTTACAAAGACTCTACAAATAGCATTAGCAATGAAACTTTCCAAGAAGAAAGAAAATGCGTTACATTAAAATACGGTACAAGTTAACTACAACAACACAAGTACACGTAATTACAAGCAGCGTACATCAAAACTAAAGTCGAGTTGAAACTATGATGCAAAGGGCAAGCAAGTTTACACTCGCAACAAAAAAACTGCAAGTAGCGATTCGAATTCGAAAAATTTCAAATGTTATCGGTGCGGTTCTAATCATAAAGCCAATACGTGTAAGTTGCCAGTGACTATCAAGTGCAATTTCTGCGGTAAACAAGGACATTTAGCAAAAGTACGCTTCAAGAAAAACAATTCGCTACATGCAATGGAAGGAGAGACAGCAGTGGATACAGATTGCGTAAAAGTACTGGGTGTTGAAACAGAAGACGGACAAGAAAATTTTTTTAAACACTCTCGGTCAACAAAAAACAAGTCAACTTTGAAGTCAACACGGGCGCAGTCGTCACGCTAATTGGAAGAGCAGGCAAAACAACTTTTTCCAGGAGTATCGGTGCTACCAACAGATCTACAGCTGATTACGTACTGTAAGCGAAAAATAAATAAATATTATAGGATACATTAAAGTAAATTTTAAGTGCGAAAATTCGCATAGTACAGGAAATTTATACATTACAAATATCGAACGATTGTCACTGATGGGGCGTGAATGGATTAAAAAAATTATTAGAGGAAACGGAACAAATACTTTGTTTGATTAAATTTTACAAGTAGATATTTCAGAAGCGCAAAAGAAAACGTTAATCGAGAAATTATTAAATAAATAAAAAAGAATTACGAACAAAAATATAAGCGCACTGAAAATATAACGCTATAGATTTTTTTTTTTTTATATTATAGTGCTCTACGTCCAGCTCCTTCATTAAGGGCACTACTATGGGCACTTAGCACTTGGGAGAAGGGAGGGAAGAGGGATGGGAGGCCTCCCATTACTGGGAGGGGGATAGGGAGAATTAGGCAATTTTGCTGCGAGAAGGTCGCCTAAAACCCTCCTCGAGGAGCATTGCGTGGTGAAAAAGCACATGTGAAAAATCACAGAGGTACTTGCCCGTAAAGTCGCACTGGCCGGGAATCGAACCACGGTCTCCCACGTGCCAATCCACGACCTAGCCGACCGAGCCACCGCGCGCTCTTAGCGCTATAGATAAGCGTTCTAATATACTTACGTGTAGACTACGGAATAAACACTTGCAAGTAGTATTTAAAAAAAAAGAAATATATTCAATGCAGTTTATGAAATACACGATTTACTCGCGTGTGGGGGCACGCGCGTTCCCGTGTGTGTGTCTGTGTGTGTACGCCCGTCGAGCGCCAATTATTGATGAGCTCGCAGCACAAAATCGTGAACCTGGCAGACTTACGAGAGTTACTCAAAGGCCGCTGCCCTTTACAAACGACTACCTGCTGACAGGTACTTATGGCGACGCTGATATGGCTTCGCTGTACGAACGCTCCCCTGTTATGGTGTGGCTTCGTGGAGGAGCACCAGCTCGAATCAACAGGCGTCCCTGTTGACTAAAACCAAGAGCTGATGTTCGTCGCTCGTCGTCTCGCTGATCATCAGCTGGCTCACTAAAACAGGGTCACAGCACCAGCATTACACCAGGAAGTCACGTCGAAGAAGAACGCCGAGGACCGCTGAAAAACAAGAAAGTTCAAGAAAACGCCTCTCGTGCGCGACAAAAACAAAAATCTCACTTCAAGCGCGTTCAACTGCCCAAGCTAATCGAAGCTCTCCTCGCTTTTCCTTTTTTCCCTCTTCCCTTACCTGACCTACTAATAATGGCTGGACGGTATCTTACTGTCACAATACATAAGGCGTCTATAGGTCTATTTTATATAATTCTCCTAAAGTACATATGTATACTGTACTTACAGATTATGACCTGCCACGAAATTTTCATTCAGATCGTTTCGAATGAATAATTGCTTGCGTACCCATATTTGCTCGTCAGTACACCATTCGGAACGAGTCCTATATTGCGATTAGAATACATCTACAAGATTTAGTGTGTGCAAGTGGAATCTTGGCACGCATTGATTAGACAAGGACAACAGGAGACTCTTGTGGGCAACCCTTTTCTCTACTTCTGCGTAGCGTTACCACTTTAAGGTACATTTTCACGGTGTTATGTATTTGTAGTTAAGGATCAAATAAAGGAGTTCACTGGGGATGTAACTTAACAATTTATTTATTCAGTACTCCTAATTACATGTGTGCGCTAGTTGGCAGTTATCTATGGACTGACTGCTGGTCGCTCGCTTTACATATCTCGCACTTGTGACCTATCCGTTCTCACTTCTACGCCATACATACACAGACCGGCACACACATACTCTTTCGCGTTTGCTTAAATGTGTACGTAAGCATCGACTCTCACTCAACACTTCCCTCCGACGAAGAATGCCTACTTTCGTGTGAGATAATGTTTGATGTATAATGTAATCCTTTAAATGAGTTGGAATTTTCCGTTCTCTTACTGGATTTATGCGAATTATTTTTAGTGTATAGAATTCTTCGTCATTTGTGGAATCATCATTACTTTGTTGGGACGGATCTTTTCTTAGTCTTTTTCCGTTCTCTGGCTCGTTTGACAAATGGACTACTGTATTTTCTCAACTCTATAGAGACATTACTGTCTACAAACGAAGTTGACTTTGAAGATATTAAAGTGTTAGTCGTATGTGTAATGCATATCTTTTCCTTCACAACGAAAAATTCTGGAAATTTTTCTTTCTCTTGTACATTCCCTATACCCCGCAATTGATTCATATGTTGTCATCATCCTCTTCTATCATGTAATCTAACTTCATAATGCAATTTACCTGTTCGACGCACTATTTTACCAACAATCCATTTTTCTTCGTAGCCGTATTTTCTTACTTCTACGTTGTCTCCTACTTAAAAATCTCTGTACTTTTTATTTTCGTTATACATTTCGTATTGTTTTACCTCACTACGTCTTAGTAGGTCAAGCTTACATCGTATTTTTCTACCAAACATTAATTCTTTCGGTGGAATTTCTGTTTTTGCATGAGGCATTTGCTGGAAATATCGTCTACTAAAACGAAAAAATATTTTTCAAGAAATGGACCAACGAAATCTGTATGGACACGATCAAAAGGTGCTTTTGCTGGTTCTTATATTTGTATATCTGCTTTCACAGGATTATTCTTGTATTTTTGGCATTGTAAGAAATTTTTT